AGATTTTTATTTATTTATTTAATTATTTATTTATTTATTTAAGCATCGGATATACTAACAGAAACCAGAAAAAAAAAAAAAAAAAAAAAAAAAAAAAAAAAAAAAAAAAAAAAAAAAAAAAAAAAAAAGTATATAGGTTGGGCAAGGAGGCTACGGAGGTTACTTGAACGTCATGTAGAAGAGCACCCACCCTTTTTCGACTCAGCCCTGGACGTGATTGCGGCCACATACACCCGTCTCCGACCATGATTGCAGTCGGAGACCGTGATTGCAGTCAGATACGTCCCCCCCCAAAAAAACTCCAAGTGTGACTTTTCTAGGCCCCTCTGTTGAGCGCCCGGGAGCGGCCGACCGGCTGAAACTACCTACACTACCGTCTTCCCCTCAACATAAAGCACCCTAAAATTGAATGTATACAAGCCATATTTTTGGCCAGATACAGCCAAAATAAGGGTGCGTTGTGTTCGGGGGAAGACGGTAGTCGCCACCTAAGACCCCTGATCAGCGCCGGAAGGGTCCAGCTGAAACTTAGGTAGTTGGGGCCCACCCCGCTTAAACACATTTGTATTCTTATATTCTGCTACCAGTCGCGTTCCTACGACCTTTTTTTATATCCTGTTGCATCATCTCTTCTCCTCTCCTCTCCTCTCCTCTCTCTCTCTCTCTCTCTCTCTCTCTCTCTCTCTCTCTCTCATCTCTTCTTCTCCTCCTGCTGGTCTTGTTTTTTATCCCGACTACATCTGATGAATGTTGCTGTCTGCTCCTGGAACATTTTTTTTTTTTTTTTTTGTTACTCCTGGAACTAGTCCTTGATCTAGGACCTTGCATGACTACCGTCTTCAGCCGAATAGAACGCCCGGTCATTATAGCTGCATCTGGACTGAACATTGAGCCAAATGCAGCATTTAATGACTGAGCGTTTTATTCGGCCGAATACGGTAGCCCCACGTTAACTATCGATCGGCTGTCGTAGGATTTTTTTTAATCTTTTTTTTTTTTTTTTTTTTTTTGGGTGTTGTCGTGGGAAATTGTTGCTCGATCCTGCGGCGGAGCTCAGTCGCGAAGGGGCACGCAAGTGGCATTCAGGAGGTCTTGGGTTGGGCTCAATTCCCATTAAATTTTGGCCTCATGTACCTACCGTACCTGGACAAGCTTGGCGCCCACCACCTACAGATAGCTCGTTGTTCCCCCCGCCGAGTGGCTTTGAACAGCAGAGACTGCTGATGCAGTAATTTCCTAAGTACCCCCAATTTTTCTTAGCCAAGCCGGGGGCAAGGTCCCACTTGCGCAAACTAGGAGATCTCAGCCGTTGATCTTTGCTATCTAGGGTCAGTATCTCTTAATTCGTGCAAATGGGACCTAGCCCCGGGTAATGGCCCCCGTATCTCAACTTTCAAAGTCTATGTAAATTTTCATATGGGACGCTGGGCCCTGTTCCCAGCACGTGCTGCTCCCCACGAATAGATTGGAGCCTTGTTCCCATTGAAAAAAAAAAAAAAAAAAAA